TGGGGGAGGAGTCTATGGGCATAGATGAGGTGGTGTGTACATTGGGGGAGGGTGCTCTCCCCCGGGGGGAGGAGTCTATGGGCATAGATGAGGTGGTGTGTACATTGGGGGAGGAGTCTATGGGCATAGATGAGGTGGTGTGTAAAAAGGTGTCTAGATTCCACCCATAGATCATGCTGGGAGGGAACACACTACAGAGGTGTATACTTGTTCGTGGTGTGTTTATAAGGTTAGTAAATCAACCCCAAAGAGTTTGTCTTGATATTTGTACATCTTTGTGTTATTATGTTAAATTTAGCAACGTTGAAACATTGGGGGTAATTAATCAACACTGGAGCAGACCACATCTGGAACAGTTGCCCATGGCAACCAATCAGCATCTCTCTTCAGTTTGCCCAGGTTAAGACTTGAAAATGAGACAGAGAAGCTGATTGGTTGCAGTGCAAATCTGCTCCAGATTTTGTCTGCTCCAGTTTTGATAAATTCCCCCCGTTGTGTCTTTTTATGCTGCAACAAATAATAAACAATGCACAAAACTCATTTACATTTTACATAAAGTGTATTTCCACTTTCACAGCCAAACTGGGATAACACCTCTGTTATATGTGTTACATGTCTTCATTCACATTGCATAAGCCACAATAAATGCTTCTTGCAGTTTAAATTGTTTTTACCTGGGTCAGAGTTACTCATAGACTTCTTAAGGGTTCACATTTTAATTTGTTTCTCCTTCTTTGTAATGTTAGAAGGGGGTAGCTAACCCTGTCTGTACTGTGCTGGCTCGTTTCATTATAATTTGTACAGTAGATTTGAACACTGTCTGTCCCAAAAAAAGACTTAAATAAATACAACCCTGGCTTCTGCATTGTATGTTAATGAAGTTAATGAGAGAAGCACAATCCACACATTTCAGGCCCAAGTCACTGTGAAGGTGCTCAGGAAAACATGGATTCAGCCATTATTCCTGCTGCATCAAAACACCTAACAGGTAAGAAATATGCTTTTAAAAATATGTTTTCTGTATGCTGCGTGAATGGGAAAACAGAACAAACATACAGAGGGGTTTTCTCAAATGTGACTGCAAAAGTGGAAATAAACTTATAGTGTTGGACAAGCCAAATGTTTGTTTCGGTTTTGGATGTTGTGGAGAAGTCTAAGAACTCCTGTCAGGTTGTTGCTGCAATCCATTTATCTGTTACAGAGACTTAGGGGTTGATTTACTAACCTTATAAACACACCACGAACGTGTATACACCTCTGTAGTGTGTTCCCTCCCAGCATGATCTATGGGTGGAATCTAAACACCTTTGTAGTGTGTACACACCCAGCAGGTGTGTTGTGCAAAGCCCTGAATGAATTACAAGGTGATGTTGTGTAAATTAGCTCTACGTTGTGTTGCTTGCGTTGATGAATGCAGGAATGTAAATGCATGAGCTAACCATTTTTCTCTAAACTGTGAAGCAGCATTATATATGCATCATGTGCATGATTTTTCCATATATGGCATTAGTGGAAATATGCTTTTAGAGACTTTTTGGTTGATAAATACGTTTTGCTGTGTGAAAATCACACACACCTGGTGTGTGTGTGTGTTTAGGTTAGTAAATCACCCCCTTACTCTCATTTCTGTCCCAGTGACCATGGATTTACCATACTAAAGGTGAGACAAATTCTGCAATAGGGACACAGACAGAAATTCAAGTGAGACCGAGGACTGACCCCCCTCACCTTCTCAACTAAAAAGAGGTAAAACGTTCTTCTGTGCTGCAGAGTTTCCCACACTTAGAGGTGTACTTGTAAAACATTTGCAGAGCCTTTCATCCAGCAAACTCCGGGGATTTTATGTTTTCTTTTCAAGTCAAATATCATATCACAAATATACCACAATATGGCCACTAGATAAAGTTGTGAGGAAAATGACTTCATTCCTCTGCTCCTCACATCCATTCAGGGAAGAACATATGCTAATAAAGATCATTTTTGCCTCTATTCTCACAGAGAAAACAGACATGGAGTTTGTATGATTACTTTTTTTAAGAAAGCCCCCCCCCCCCTCACTGTCAGTAATGTATCCTCAGATAACAGTAAAAGCAGTCAGGGTGCTAACTTTTCCCTTCTCTATACAAAAATAAGAAACAGATCATTGTGTTTGGACATACACTCTAAAAGGTGACATTAGGATTCCTGGATTGCATGTTTAGGTTCTGTAAATGCTATTACAGGTCAGGAATCAGGAGCCTTTATCTCAGTGTCCTGTATAAGTATATGTCTTGTTTCAAGTAACAGCCGGCCCCTGAGATCAGAAACAGTAGAAGATATTCTTATCTACAGACTGAATATTGTCCTGTGTAGTAATTATTGTATTTTACATCAAATTCTTTAAATCTAATTTAGGGTCCTGTTATTATGGCCGGGACTCCCAGAACTACAACACCTATGAAAATAAAAAGTCAGATTATTATTTCTGATGCTGCAGCACACACTGACTTCTCTCCATCTCGGTGATTTGATCAATGTCGGAGATTTCTGATCATGTTTTTGAATATTTGGCATTGCTGATAGAAGTCCGAAACTGGTTCATGTTCTCTACACCAAAGCACAACATTTTGATATTTTGTTGCAGAATTTGTATATTTGGTACTTTAGATTGCCTAGAAGTCCTACAACATATTGAAGAGGAGAATTGTGTTTTCTGTATTAATCTCATAAATGAAAAGTATGAATGAAAATATTGCAATGGGGAATCAGACAATTCTGAATGAATTATTCCTCTCTGGACTGTCCGATATTCCGGCTCTTCAGCTCCCTCTCTTCCTCTTCTTCCTTCTCATCTACCTTCTGACATTAATCTGGAATTTGCTGATCATCTCCCTCATAGTCAGTGACTCTCACCTCCACACCCCTATGTATTTCTTCCTTGGGAACCTGGCCAGTTTGGACCTCTGTTTTTCCTCCATCACCGTCCCACAAATGTTATTTGACCTTCTCACCCAGAGAAGAAAGATTACTATAACGGCTTGTATGACCCAAGTCTTCTTCTTTATATTCTTTGCATCCTCTGAGTCTTTTCTGTTGGCTGTCATGTCCTATGATCGATATACAGCCATTTGTCAGCCATTACATTACATACAGATTATGAACTGGAAAGTGTGTCTAACCTTGGCGTCCATTGTGTGGTGTCTCGGTTCTTCCTATTCTTTAGTTCACACACTTTGTGCATTGAAACTAACATTCTGTGAGTCAGCTATTGTACAAAGTTTCTTCTGTGACCTTCCTCAGTTGTTACAGATCTCCTGCAGTGACATCTACATCAACATTCTGCTCATCTTTGTCTTGGGAGGCTTCCTTGTAGCTGGTTCTCTAACACTGACCATCCTGCCCTATGTCTATATATTCAAAACTGTCCTGAAAATACAAGTTAAAGGTAAAAGGAGTAAAGTTTTCTCTACGTGTTCCTCTCACCTGACAGTGGTCTTCATATTTTATTTCTCAGGTTCTTTTGATTATTTTCGCCCCGACACTAATAATCACTATGCCGCTGACAAAGTGTTACCTGTGTTTTACACCGTGATTGTTCCTCTCCTCAACCCTCTGATATACAGTCTGAGGAACCAGGATTCCAGAAAAGCATTTAAAGTGTTTTTAATGAATTTTTTCCAAACAAAATACAGAAATCATCTTAGCTAAACCCTGATTTGTAGTTCTTTTGATTATTTTCGCCCCGGCACTAATAATCACTATGCCGCTGACAAAGTGTTACCTGTGTTTTACACCGTGATTGTTCCTCTCCTCAACCCTCTGATATACAGTCTGAGGAACCAGGATTCCAGAAAAGCATTTAAAGTGTTTTTAATGAATTTTTTCCAAACAAAATACAGAAATCATCTTAGCTAAACCCTGATTTGTAGATCTTAGGAAGACATATCAGCACTTTCTCCATTGGGGAGATATCCCTTCACCCCCCAAAACATGACAGGAAGTAAGAATTAATTTCTCCAAAGTGATAAGAAGTCCACTCTATGACAGTAGCCACTGAAGTTCCTATGTTTTGATTTCTCCTTACTTCTTTCTTCCAGTGTTCTTATTCTGGTGTCAGCTATATAACATTTTTGATTTCCAATCGCTCTTTTGATCAAGAAAACAATAAACGTGCCCTGGGCATCGCAGTTTCGGTCCTGAAATCTTAGGACTGAACAGCTGCATGTTCAAAAGCACTTAATTGAATAGTTATAAAGTTAGTTTTTACATCCCCCCACCGCTTCCACCCACTAACTCATTCACTGCCCAGGACATTGCCATTCATTTCAAAAACAAGATAGATGCAATTTAGCGGGTGAGGGTAGCCGGGGTTCAATATAGACTTGAAAAACGTAATGCAAATAAAGCATTAGTGCCAGATAACCTGCACCCCAAGGTACTTAAAGAACTCAGCCAGGTTATAGCGAGAAGATTATTCCTCATTTTCAAGGACTCCTTAATGACTGGCAGGGTACCAAGTAACTGGCAGAAAGCTACGGTAGTACCGATATTAAAAAAAGGGTCAAAATACCAACCTGGGAACTACAGACCGATCAGTCTAACATCAATAGTATGCAAACTAATTAGCACGGATTTAGGAGTCAGACCAACGTACTGACATTCTATGAAGAGGTGAGTAGAGATCTGGAAGGAGGGAGGTCGGTGGATGTGTTGTATCTGGATGGAGGGAGGTCGGTGGATGTGGTGTATCTGGATGGAGGGAGGTCGGTGGATGTGGTGTATCTGGATGGAGGGAGGCCGGTGGATGTGTTGTATCTGGATGGAGGGAGGTCGGTGGATGTGGTGTATCTGGATGGAGGGAGGCCGGTGGATGTGGTGTATCTGGATGGAGGGAGGCAGGTGGATGTGGTGTGTCTGAATGCAGGGAGGCCGGTGGATGTGGTATATCTGGATGGAGGGAGGCCGGTGGATGTGGTGTATCTCGATTTTGCCAAAGCTTTTGACACAGTACCACATAAACACTTACTACACAAGCTGAGGTCTATGGGCATAGAATAAATGTTGTCTACATGGATAGAAAACTGACTACCGTAACATGTCCAGAGAGTATCGATAAATGGCTCTTTTTTAGATTGGTCTAGGGTCGGGAGTGGTGTGCCACGGGGTTCTGTGCTGGGCCCCATACTATTTAACCTATTTAATAACGATATCGGGGGAGGGTGTGAATAACCATGTATCCTTGTTTGCTGATGATACTAAAATTGGGAGGGTAATAGACTAGGGATTAGACACTATAACACTGGATAAAATAGGGGAGGGGCACCTATATGGTAGATGAGGTTTCATGTTGATGTAAAGTTATGCACTTTGCGGTTCAAATAGGCAACAACAATACACATTAATGGGAACTCCACAAAGGAAGTCAGAAATACTGTAGAGACAAAGCTATATTTTGCCACTTTACAGATCACTAGTTTGGCCTCATCTGGAGTATGCGGTCCAGTTTTGGTCTCCAATCCACAGAAGGATGCCCTGGAGCTGGAGAGAGTCCAGAGAAGGGCAACAAAACTAATGAAGGGGATGGAGGACCTAAGCTATGAGACAAGGTTACTAAATTTAAACATGTTCACGCTGGAAGTGAGGCGATCAAGGGGTGGACATGATTTTGATGTACAAGACGTTCAATGGATCAACATCAGCAATAAACTTATTACAGTAAACTCCATAACAAGGACTAGAGGCCACCACCTAAAAATGGTGGAGAAAAGATTTAACCACAAGGGGTTAAAGGGGTTTATCTCTAACCCCATCTTAAAGTATCACCCTAATCATCCACTTTGCTCCTCCCAAGACCTCAGCGCTCTCAAGATCTTTTGTCCACTCCTCCCATGCTCGCCTCCAGGACTTCTCTATAGTCTCTCCCATCCTCTGGAACTTCCTACCAAAACCTATCCATCTATCTCCGACTCTACCTGCCTTTAGGCAAACCCTGAAAACTCTTCTCTTCAGAAAAGCCGATCCCACCTCAAACTGACCACTGAACTATCACTTTCTTATAGAACTCATTTCAACACAGCTTCCACCCTTTGTATTGCTTGCCTTGAAGACTGTAAGCTCTAATTGGCAGGGCCCTCGTAACCATCTTATCTTGAATTGTATTGTAACTGTCATGTCCTTATATTGTAATGCTCTGCACAAACTGTTGGCGCTCTATAAATCCTGAATAATAATAATAATAATAAATATAGAATTACATGTGTGAACCATTAAAGTCAGTGAGGGACAAGGGGGAACAGCGCGAAGAACCCCACCCCCCACATCCCTCACCACGTTGCACATTACTCTTGGACAAATGTTGAGGTACAAGGACCAATTCCCCACCATGTTGTGCCTAAAAAAGGAGGTAAAGCTACGGGGCAATCTGGAAGCCCCCTTTATTGGGGTCACTAGATATCTGCCCCTATACTCATGGGAATAAGTACAAGGGTACATTCATAAGATAACAGATTTAATTTATTTGTTTTGGCTGATTTTCGGACTCTTCGACTGAACTGCTGAGGAATCGAACACAAATGTTTTAAAACAATATTGTCCATGGCATTGGTTACTAAGAGAAATACCCACAGGAGAGACCGCCCCTGCTGAAGAAGGTTGGCTCAGTCTTCAGTCAGGTTACATGTCTGATAGTCATGGCCTGTTCTCTTTCAGGTCCTCTAACCTTATAAAGGGTTTATAAACAAGAATGTGTGAAAGACGATGAGAAACTCTAAGCTGTTCTGCTACAATGAGCTTGTATTGTTATAGCTAAAGACAAAGGTTGTAAGTAGAGGAGGAAATGGTGCGCACCAAATGGTTTTCCAGCCCCTTCATCAGGCAAACACGGGTTGCCTAATGAAGGTGCCATGTGCCCTGAAACATTGCTTACACTGTGATAAATAAGAAGCCCCATCTTGATCATATTATGTGCATGTTGTTACTTTTATTAATAAAACTATTTTATATTACACAGTGCTGTCTCATCTTCCTTTCATGTCCAGAATAGCTTATTCCCTGTATGACTCAGTCTAAATCTTCTAACATTCTACTAAGAGGTAAGTAGAGATCTGGATGGAGGGAGGTCGGTGGATCTGGTGTGCCTGGATGGAGGGAGTCCGGTGGATGTGGTATATCATGTGGTGTGCCTGGATGGAGGGAGGCCGGTGGATGTGGTGTACCTGGATGGATGGAGGGAGGTCGGTGGATCTGGTATATCTGGATGGAGGGAGGCGGGTGGATGTGGTGTACCTGGATAGAGGGAGGCAGGTGGATGTGGTATATCTGGATGGAGGGAGGCCGGTAGATGTGGTATATCTGGATGGAGGGAAGTCGGTGCATGTGGTGTGCCTGGATGGAGGGAGTCCGGTGGATGTGGTATATCTGGATGGAGGGAGTCCGGTGGATGTGGTATATCTGGATGGAGGGAGGCCGGTGGATGTGGTGTACCTGGATGGAGGGAGGCCGGTGGATGTCGTGTACCTGGATGGATGGAGGGAGGTCGGTGGATGTGGTGTATCTGGATGGAGGGAGGCTGGTGGATGTGGGATATCTGGATGGAGGGAGGCTGGTGGATGTGGGATATCTGGATGGAGGGAGGCTGGTGGATGTGGGATATCTGGATGGAGGGAGGCTGGTGGATGTGGGATATCTGGATGGAGGGAGGCTGGTGGATGTGGGATATCTGGATGGAGGGAGGCTGGTGGATGTGGGATATCTGGATGGAGGGAGGCTGGTGGATGTGGGATATCTGGATGGAGGGAGGCTGGTGGATGTGGGATATCTGGATGGAGGGAGGCTGGTGGATGTGGGATATCTGGATGGAGGGAGGCTGGTGGATGTGGGATATCTGGATGGAGGGAGGCTGGTGGATGTGGGATATCTGGATGGAGGGAGGCTGGTGGATGTGGGATATCTGGATGGAGGGAGGCTGGTGGATGTGGGATATCTGGATGGAGGGAGGCTGGTGGATGTGGGATATCTGGATGGAGGGAGGCTGGTGGATGTGGGATATCTGGATGGAGGGAGGCCGGTAGATGTGGTATATCTGGATGGAGGGAGGCCGTTAGATGTGGTATTTCTGGATGGAGGGAAGTTGGTGGATGTGGTGTATCTGGATGGAGGGAGGCCAGTAGATGTGGTATATCTGGATGGAGGGAAGTTGGTGGATGTGGTGTATCTGGATGGAGGGAGGCTGGTGGATGTGGTATATCTGGATGGAGTGAGGTCGGTGGATGTGGTATATCTGGATGGAGGGAGGCCGGTGGATGTGATGTATCTGGATGGAGGGAGGTTGGTGGATGTGGTATATCTGGATTTTTCGAAAGCGTTTGGCACAGTGCCACATAAACACTTACTACACAAGCTGAGGGCTATGGGCATAGAAGGAATGGTGAGTACATAGATAGAGAATTGGCTACGGGAACGTGTCCAGAGAGTATCTATGAATGGCTCCTTCTCAGACTGGTCAAGTGTCATGAGTGGTGTGTCTCAGGGTTCTGTGCTGGGCCCCATACTATTCAACCTGTTTATTAACCATATCGGGGGAGGGAGTGAATAGCCAGGTTTCCGTGTTTGCTGATGATACTAAAATCCGGAGGGTAATAGACACAGACTTAGACACTATAACATTACAGGAGGACCCGGATAAAATAGGGGAGTGGTCAACTACATGGCAGATGAGGTTTAATGTGGATAAATGTAAAGTGATGCACTTTGGGGTTAAAAACAGGCAAGGGGAATACACATTAATGGGAACTCCACTAGGGAAGTCACAAATGGAAAAGGATCTGGAGATCATGTAGACCACAGATTGAACAGTAGCTTGCTATGCCAGGCTGAGGAACACAATGCCAGGCTGCGGCACACAATGCTAGGCTGCGGCACACAATGCCAGGCTGCGGCACACAATGCCAGGCTGCGGCACACAATGTTAGGCTGGGGGCACACAATGCCAGGCTGGGGCACACAATGCCAGGCTGCGGCACACAATGCCAGGCTGGGGCACACAATGCCAGGCTGGGGCACACAATGCCAGGCTGAGGCACACAATGCCAGGCTGGGGCACACAATGCCAGGCTGAGGCTCACAATCCCAGGCTGCGGCACACAATGCCACGCTGCGTCACACAATGTCAGGCTGCGGCACACAATGCCAGGCTGCTGCAAACAAAGTG